GGGAAAGAGATTGCTCACTGGCCACATGATCTGGGCTGCTGGGCACCTCACACTTAAAGCTCATCCTGTCCTTGCCAGAACTCAGCCGTGGGTGTTTGGGCGCTCCCCACTTCCTGCTCAGGGAAGGGCTGGCTGGTGGCCATGTGAGTCTCAGCCGGTCGATGGCCTTGGAAGGAGTCAGGTCGCTTCTCCCTGCTTGGTGGCCCTGTCCGGGCGAGGCTGTGGCTCCCGTCAGCCACCCGGCTCCTCCTCCAGCCCACGTGTTCCTGTTGGCTTGGTGGGTCCTGGTGCCAGGCTGTGATAGCCCGTGTGGATATTTTCACAGGTGGCGACCGGGAAGTGGAAGCAGATAAGTCAGTACTGCCCCCTCGACCTCTACTCGGGGTAAGACACACCTCACCTGCCCCTTGTGTGCTGGCTGCTCTGCGAAGGGAGGTTGTGGGGCTCTGAGGCGGGGACAGGCTGTGGGCCACGCTGGCCTCAGGGTTCCTCCCTGCCTCAGCCCCTGTGGTGCCTGCGCTGTGGCCGAGTCGTGTGCCCACTGGTTCCTCTGCACGTGCTCGGTCTGCCCTCCACTCGTGTCAGCGACACGGGGCGCCAGCCACGGCCCTCACTGTTTGGACCCTCACGGTGGCTTGTGGACACGCTGGCCTCTTCCTCTGCAGTTACTCACAAGTCTGTGGAGGGGTCAGGAGGTGGTGTGATGATTAAGGTGCCAGACTCCCATGTGACTGGCCATGGTTCAAATCCTGGACCTGGCGGCTTAAAAATCACAACGGGTGACGTGTGCATGCCCAAAGACATGGCTGTCCCCGGGGGCGATTGCTCACTTTCCCTGTCTCTGGCACACGTGCCCTGTGGCAGAACTTTATAAACAAGGCAGCAGCAGCTTGTGCCTCTGGTTCCTGCCTCAGCTGTCTGTCAGACCTTCCGTCAGGCCTTGGGCCTCTCTGCCCCAGCTGCCATGTGCTCGCCGCGCTGCTCACCTGCCGTGGCCAGACACCCGTGGTCTGAGTGGGCAGCCTGAGCTGTGGGCAGTGACTGGGCCCTGAGGCTGAGGGGGTGGCAGGGCCCAGGGCAGGATGGAATGAGATGGAGCCTGGATGGTGCCCCCCAGCAGCCCGCTCCAGTGCAGGTGCCACCACCCCCAGCCGGGAGAGGCGCTGCAGGGTGGGGGTGTGCGACCTTTTCTGATACGCCTGCCCTCTTGCTAGAGCAGAGCTGTTCTCACCAGTCTTCTTCAGTTTCTTTTTAAACTTTCTATTGCCAGATGGTGCATGTGCTCACCAGAGGGGGGAGAGTGGGAGAAGGCACCCTCCCCTGTGGGCATGGGTGCCACAATCCCTCCTCCTGTCTCCATCCTGTCTGAACCTCAGGTGCGCACACCCATGCGCTTAGTGTGTTTTCAAGCCACCGGGGCTGGGATTTGAACTGCAGATGACCTGTGGGGTCTGGCTGCCTTCACCACTAGGCCATGGGGCTGGTCCTCAGCACTAACTCCTTAAGCATACTTGGCACTGCTTTGGTGCTTTGGGTTGAAGGACGCTGCTCTAGAACAGCACCAGAACGAGGGCTGTGTGCAGGGAGAGCTTGGGTGGCAGGGCCATGCGCCGCTCACTGTCTCCCAGGAGTGGGGTGGCCAGCACATCCACCTGCGGCTCCTTGGCCCTCACCCCGTGCATCTAGGGCTGAGTTCTGAAGCCGCCGGTGCTCCTACTTGTGCGGAGAGTGTCTCCAGCCCTGCAGGGCGGCGTGACGGCCTGTGGCCTTGCAGAGGCACGGGGGCTGTCTGTGAGTGCTGTACTCACTTGAATCCTTGGGGGCTCTGCATTTTTATTTGCAGTAGCTTGGGCTAGTTTCCGCAGTTCCCCGGGGGAGCCAGGGCCTCGTGGGGCAGTCAGACAGGAGTGGGCACTCCTGTAGGAGGAAGAGGGTTGGGGGGTGAGCAGGGTTAGAGGTGGTTGGAGGTGAGAGGTTCTGTGGCTCCGGCCTCCCCCAAGTTCCCTGCATCCCTCACCCGGCACTTGCTCCAGCCTTAGACAGTGCACCAGAGGTGAGGCAGAGGAGGGCGGTAACGGACCTCTGGGGAGGGCTAGAGGTGCTCAGGGGTCAAGGCTGCTCCCCACTCTAGGGGAGCATGTGCTGGACTGTGGCCCTCTGGAAGGAGATACCAGAGCCATGCTGGCCTCATGCCCATGGGGCTGCAAAGGGGAGGATGCGCCGTTTGACCCCAAGAGCTCTGGTTCCGAGCTCAG